CTCACTTGCTCTAACCCGGATCGAGCTTAGAGAAGTATCAGCACTAAACCCCGTGTAACATTGACCTCCTTCACGTTGTTAAAAACTCGCTCTGTCATTTTAAATGTTCTCTTACCATTCCGCCCAGTGGCACTCCCGCATACATCCCGTGCTTCTAGGACAGTCACTTTAGGTTGCCTTCCTGTGTTTTCGGTCCCCTGAGATCCGATGAGTATAGACTGGTATATGCCTTAGGCCGCGCACACACCTTATGAATCCAGTAGGCGGTAGATGCACCCGCATATCCGCTCCCGATGATTGCAACGTCAGTCTCTTCTGGCAAGCTTTCGCTAGAACGAAAATTCCGGAGAGATGAATCAGCGGCCTCGATCCAATAGGATTTGGTCGGATCAGGGACTGGGAGAACCATTTTCTGTGCTGTTTCAAAAGTATAATCTTAAATCTAAAGTCATTGAAGATTAAATATTATTTCGACTATCCAAGAAGCGCAGTCATGGCAGCGGGCGTCCGATCCGACGTCAAGCCGGCCATGACAATAGATTCATTCCCTCTCAGAAAATGCCCCACGACCGGCCCGGTTCTGATAAGCTGTGGGGTCTGCCTCGCGTGCAGTAAGCGAGACTATAAGTGCCGGGGTGCCTATGTAGCCGACCAAAATTATGCCCATCCAAGCCCGACTAGGTCGTCCGCGACCGGGCCGGTCAAGTTTAGAATGACAGAAGATCAAATAGTCAACGGGATGAGACTCGAGATACGTGGAGTCTCGGTGCTGCTTAATTTTGATAAATGGATGATGGTGGTGCTCTGCGATGTTGCGGGCTATTCTAGTCAATTTCATTGTGGTGAAGGCTGAGAAATGGTTGGTATACGCTTTTGTTCTATATTAATCCAATTCGCCTTGCTACTTGCCTGGCCAACCTTTTCAGTATCTCATTGTGCCTTGGCATTTGATGTTTGAAACAATTTTTACCCCAATTATGACTAAAATAATCCATACTTATACACGCGAAATCATGATAATGAAATTCGCTCGAGTCCTGCACAATACTGAAACAAGAGGGCTTCCGTGCCTCGGGCTAGAACAGATCCGCACCAATGGCAAAAACGCCGAAACAAATCGCTATCATCTCTATCTAAAGTGGTCCAAATGCGGAGGATACTGCGCGCTACAACCCGGGCCGGCTCCCTTATCGGTGGGGTTCCCCGCGACCGTTCTCGTCCACGAGCCCATCTCAAGCTATAGTCTTGAGACCTTTAGCATATGTAGAGCTGCATTCCGTCCTGTAGTGGAACAACGGAAGTCAACGGACAGTCCTCATCATGGCATCTTTTCAAGACAAAGAAATCAAGGCCGACACCGGCATTACTAACTTGGTTGCTGACGATGGTGTTGCTGACGTTGCAGTCGGCTCTATGGAAGAACGTCCTCGTTCTGCGTTGTCTACTTTCTTTCGAAGTGTACTATTCCAGATGATATTGTTCGGAGCGTAAGTGTGGCTTCAAATCTATCACAGAGCCAAGTATCCTACTGATCATCGCTCAGACTATCACTTGTCGGACCGGCCATGTCGGATGCCATTTCCAATCTTGGTGGTGGAGGACTTTCCACACCATGGTTAGCAAATCTTGCAAATTCGCTGAATTACACAATGAGCTTTTGTAGCACTATACTCGGAGGTCCAATTATCAATAGAATTGGCATTAAATGGTCGTGTATAATCGCGGCTCTGGCAATGCCGCTGTTTGGATCTGCATACTATGTGAATGCAAGGTACCATGTGGAGTCGTATCTCTTGACTGCAAATGTCATCGGAGGTGAGTCATAATTGCGCGTGGCCTCGATGCGGCTTATGCTGACGGGTCACCAAAGGTATTGCGTCTGGGTTCCTTTATGTCGGTGAGACCACCGCAATGCTGTCATATCCCAATCCAGAAGACCGTGGATTCTACCTCGGTAAGTAGAATGTCGATCCAATATTGGAAACATTTCACTAATCAAGGAAGGTATCTGGTCTGCAATGCGGAATACTGGTAGTGTTATTGGTGGTGCGATCAACTTCTCAACAAACTATGATAGGGCCGGAAGCGGAGGTATCGCGTGGACAACATACCTGATATTCGTTGGCTTTGGTAAATTATATGCTGTCGCTAGACACTCTTATGCTAATAAAACCTAGAATGTACTGGATTCATATGGGCGTTTCTTCTCTCTCCAACTGCAAAGGTTCGTCGCCGCGATGGTGGTAAAGTTTCCATGTCTCGTCGAGCGTCATGGAAGCATGAATTTACAGCTTTATGGGTATACTTGCAAAGACACAAGGTCAGCGATAGACTAGTATACTGAATTCCATCAACTAACAATCCTCAGACTTGGCTCATCTTCTTGCCGTCATTTTACTCTTTTTTCTATGGAGGAACGATGGGCACGTACCTGTCTCGTCATTTTTCGGTACGAGCTCGCGCTTTGTCCTCTTTATTAGTCCGTAAGTGGACAATTCCTAAGCGGCTCTCTGTAAATTGACTTGAGCAGCGGTTATAACTATACCATCCGTCATTATATTTGGCAAGCTATTGGATAGTACCCGTTGGTCGCAGCGTCGTCGGGCATGGAAAGCGATGATGGCCTGGATACTACCACAGATCGCTTGTTTTATTTGGGTTGCATACGAATACCATGAGCTCGGCGACAAGTCTGCATTAGATCCAAAGTTGTAAGTACTTTCACAAGGCGATTATTACTGGAATACTAACTGCAGCAGGGAATCAAAGCGATGGGCTAAAGCTTACGTACCATATCTAATAATCTTTGTTACAGGTTACTGGACTCAGCTTACATTGTACTGGATTCTGGGCACATATTCAAAAGATGTTGAAGTTGCTTCGCGTGCAGGAGGTGTCTTCCGCGCTTTCGAGACCTCTGGGCAGGCGGTGTCGTACGGACTAAGCTCAGCAAGTCACATCAAACACGTCATTCCACTCTATGTCAATTGCGGTATACTAGCTCTTGTGATCCCAAGCATGATTTTGTTAATCAGCGGGATGCCAAAGGACTCAACTAGTACTGTGAGTATCGAGCAGCCAGTGTATTTTGAGAATGATGCTACAAAGAAGGGTTGAGTGTATAGGGTCTAGCGTCACACAATCAATTTGTTCAAACGGAATTGTAGAATCTGACCCAACGCTGCCAGCCGCGTTTTAACTACCATACCCTATTTTTGCATGCACTCAAGAGAATCATTTCTCTTTTGATAGAGTAATCAAGCTGTCCATAGTTCACAATGGGATGCAATATGTTCTTCAAACAGATTTCATTCCCTTATCATACCGATTCAAGTCCGCATGTCGCCGCGAAAATAATGGTATACTTCCCTAAATACAGGGCTGACACAGCTGAGACAAAACCACTACGGATAGGTCATCTTTTTATGATATCTATCTAGGGTTATACACTTCTGAGACTGTAGCTGACATAGTTGCGAACAGTTCAATGTCATCGGCGCCGTAATAGGTGGCGGAACTTTTAGCAATGGTGGCCCCCAACTAGCACCTCACATTCAATACTTTTGCAAAATACTAAGTTTCGAGGTATTACCACTAAGAACTCTCAATCTTATGATTACCAAACGCTTCCAAACCTTATTACTACCAAACACCTCCGAACCTTATCATTTCCCGAACACTTCCGAACCTTACTTCGTAAGATACTGTGGGTGTGAGGACGCAGCTCTAATCCACTGCGCTATCCTAGCCTTTAAAAGGTGAACACAGCTAAGCGTATGACACGTCTTGCGCACCCCACGCTTGTGTAACGTCTTAGAAGCGTAGCCTAGTAGTCCCAACCAGAGCTGTGTATTATTATTATTGTTATTATTGTAGATTAACGTCCTTTCTCAGCCGGTAGGCTATATAAGACGTGCAGGTTGAGCCTGCAAGTATCTA